GTTGGTCAGCTGGAAATGATCCAACATTTTTTCTGAAAGATTCATCTTCCCAGAATTGAGCAGAAATCTGTTCAGGTTCAGACTGTTAAACAAACTGAACTGTGAAACAAACCAGACAAAAAACACGAGATGCTTTGGTTTTCAGTTGCAAACTCTGCAGATAAGCGTTTGTGTCCTCACACACCATTCTGTGTTTCTGCTTTGGGACAGAAATCCAGAAGGCTTTGGGTAAATAATCCTGCTGCACCGGCTCTCTGTGCATCCTACAGTGAGGTGCAACTCAGGAAGAGCAAACCTCAGACAAACAGACAGTTTGTGAAGTTAGCTGCACATCTGATGAGGCAACAATAAGGCAACGAACTAAAGAACAATTTGACCGAGTCATACACCAGGTCTGTCTGACGGCGTATTACGGTGCAGATCAGTCGGTCCTGCAGGGCCGGCGTCCTGCATGTTGCTGTTCTCTCCCTGGTTTAACGCACCTGGATCAAATGGCGTTACCACCACCAGGGACAGAACTACAACATGCAGGACGCCGGCCCTGCAGGACCGACTGTGGGCAGTCTACTGGTGTACACTTTAAAAATAAATTTCCAAAAAAAAAAATAATAATTATTAGGTTAATCTCAGACATTTCCTGGAAAAAACTTGGAAATTCCTGAGTTCCAGAAGTAAAAAAATTTGTCAGAAATGTTTTGTTGTCTCTTTAAACTCAAAAATTTTAAGTTTTTTCTAGCAAATTTTTGACTTTTCAAACTCTGAATTTTCTGTTTTTTCCTCTAGAAAATTCCTGAGAATAAACTCAATTTTTTTTTTCTATAATTTTTTGGGGGGAAATTTCTGAGATCAATCTCAAAATTTCTGACTTGAGTTTTCCGGGTCAGAAATAAAAAAGGTTTTCTTGAAAAAACAGAAATTTCTACAAAATTTCTGAGATTAATCTAAAAATTTCTGATATTTTTTGTGAAAATTCACTCCTTTTTTATAATGGCCCGAATACATTGGTGTACTTCACCAGTCATTATGTAACTTTTAGTAATTCAGAATACACTAATTTAAATTATTTTATTTTATTGCTTTATTCTACATCAATGTGACGTATTTCAAAGAAAACACAAGCAGGTGTGTTTGTTTCTCTGTCTGTGGAAACATATTTAACATTTACAGAAAGTTTTGGGTCTAACAAAGTCCCACAAATGTTGAAAAGACTGAAAACTCTCTGCTGGTTGTGTGTGTTTCTTCCTTTCCTCGCTCGTGGCAAAACAACTGGTTAGCATAATGAGAGCGGGTTGGTCTTTACACCCGAGCCTTCTGCTGGAGGGCCGCGGCTGATCTCTGACTCCGGCCTTCATCCGTCTCTTCGGGCCCTGGGCTCGGCTAAAGGAGCGGCTCTCTCAACTGTTCTGGGTCCCGAGACGTATGAATTATTCACCTTCACAGATGCAAGGCAGCTGCTTCACAAACTGTACATGCACAGAGGGACGCGGCGCTGCGAGCTGCAGCAGGAGATTAAAGGCCAAAGTGTGTGAGCTGTCCAACCAGGACACGTCCACATATGGGGACAAAGTCACAAATCCAGGACAGTCCATGATCTCCAACATCCTCATTGGCTCCTTTATATCTAGCAGTTTGTCCATGTTTTGTCATCAACAGCTGTTATTCAAAAGTCAACTAGATAAGGTTTAAGTTCTCAGCCTCAGATTTATATGGCAGCATATCAGTGACGAAGCAGACAGAAAACAAAAAGAGCAGTAAATTTCTGGCCAAAAAACTCAGAAATTTTCAGATTAATCTCAGAAATTTTCTAGAAAAAACATGAGCATTTCTGAGTTTTTTGTTGGTTATGCAGAAGGCTCCACTTCTGCTTTTCAAACATGTACAGTTGTGTAATTGCGCAACTGTACATGTTGCGCAATTACACAACTGTAATTGCGCCATTCCTTTCCTCGCTCGTGGCAAAACAACTGCCACGAGCAGTTGTTTTGCCACGAGCAAAACAACTGCAGCCATTTTCACATGCAAGTGTAAATGTTGAGTTTGGGGGAGTGGCTAGAAGCCTACTTCAATTTAAAGTGGCAGAAAGGAGCTCAAAATATCAAAATCTAATTATCTAAGAATGTTTTTGTAGAAAATCTTTAATGAACATGTTTTGTGTGGACCATAGATGTATCCTAACCTGTTCAAGGAAGCAAAACAGGTCACTTTTTTGCTTCCTTGAACAGGAAGCAATGGTAAAAGTTGCAGAGTGGCCTCCTTAAAGAAGCTGCCAAACAAACCCTTCACAAAGCCCGCATCAGCATCCAACAGAGAGTTCAGGCTGGATTTTTTCCCCCTGCTGTTCATGAATCACAACTCCATTTTATTCCCTTCAGACATGAGATAGCACTACGGCGTTTTGATGTACTAGTCTAATAAACTTTCAATGAATTCCTCCGTGCAACACGAACGTTTAGCAGAGACAGTCTGCCGTAGTTTCAATCTGCACGCCAGTTTCTCCGTCCCACGGAGCGAATGCTCGGGCTGCGCGCCTGCAGTTCAGCTTTGTCTTTCATGTTTTGTTCTCAGCATCCTGGGGAAAGGCACAACTGCAGCCAACAAAACAGAAAACATCTGAGGCAAAGAGCACAGATTCAGTCAAGGTGCTCTGGCCTTTCCACACTCTGCTCCGAGCGCTGCACAGGCCTGAAGGCTGCTTCTTAAAAACTGGTCCCAACAACCAGCCGAGCCACAGAAACTGTAACGTGGCACAAATCTCTGTAGGTCTACATATTATCCTCACACAAATGTGGAAAAAACAAAATAAACAAACAGGAAATTCAGCCCTTTGTGACTAAAACCTAAGGAAAATTAGGAATTACTACTTGTTTCATCAGATATTCTTGATAACAAAAGAAACTTAAGAGAGGATTTTTACATGCAGTTAGTATAAAAACGTCAATTCTTCAATTATTACAGCTAAAAACTGCTGATCACGGTCAGGCCTGAACCTTCACATTCACATAAAAACAGCTACAAATTCAGCCTTCTGTCACCTGAAAAACATTTCCAGGATTAAATACTGGGAGAAACTCAAGTTTCTAAAGTTTATTGCTGCAGTGTCTTCACAGATCTGAATGCTTTCATTTGTAAAAGAGTTTTCTTTTTTTTTTTTTTTTAGCTTAGAGTAAATAAGTTTAAATTAAAGATCTGCTGTTGTCATGGCAACTTTCCAGACCTCTCAGCTCTTCCAAACATGCAGAAGCAGCATTCAGCTTCTATGCACCATAAATCTGGAACAAACTTCCAAAAAACCCTGCAAAACAGCCGAAACACTGAGTTCCTTTAGACCAAACTGTTATAGCTGCTTTTGATTAAAAAAAACTGGAACATTGATCAACATACTTGATAAGTATTGATGATTAAATTTTTATTCATTGTTTCACGACTATGAGGTAAAGCACTTTGAGCTGATAAACAAATGCTGGTAACTGATCAAAAATGTACTTACTTTTAATTTTTCCTTGCATATTTTTTATTTTAAAAACAAAAAGCTTCCATCATCCACCTTAATTTTTATTCAAAGTTTAAACATGTTCTTAATGGAAACATTTTAAACAAATAAGAATTACATTCTTGTCTAGTTAAAAAGATTAAACTCACAGGAAAATACATGTTTTTATTTATTTTTTCAATGCTGCATATAAATATTCTCTCCCACATTTTGTAACAATCTCAGTCTGATTCATTCTGCTTATTTAATGAAATAAAGTGCCTTATGGTTTTACTCTGCAGGTGGCTGAGGCGACCATTCTCACTCAGAAAGAGAGAAATTGTGTTTCCACTCAAGTAAAACCTAAAAGTATTTATTTTTTTCTTCAAAAGCACCCTGTGTACTTATTAAAAGGCAGCCACCGAGCGTAAAATGTTTATGTGAGCCGTGAAGTTAACTGCATGCTGCAGCTTTTCATTAAAATGCACCCGAGAGGTCGGGTCACATTAATGCAAATCAATGTATCTGTTTTTTGTTTTTGTTGTTGTTGTTGTTGTTGTTTACAATTGAGATTGAAGTCTGTGAGTTTAAAGCAGTTGGGAGGGAACAGGGCCTAATTAATGACTTCATACCCTGAGAATATTTTCAGATTGTGTCCATTACTGCGATGTAACGACACAAAGAAAGTTCTGCATATCTGTGAAGGAGAAGAAAAGGTTTTCTGAATTTTGTATGAAGCATTTAACTGCCATTACTAAGAAAAAAACGTAAAATAAAGTTTCTGATTGTAATTAGATGTTCTCGTTATAACGAGAAAGATTTTTGTTTTAACTGCAGAGGCACCGATCCACTTTCTTCACTTACGATACCGATACCAATATCTGAGGATTAGTATCGAGACCGATCCAACACAAAAAAAGGTGCAGAACTGACTTAAAATGTTTCCTTTTTTAAAACACAGAAATAAACATATTTTAAAAATTATAAAAATCTGAAAGTGACAAAAACAACAGGTTGATTGATCAAATATATAAAAATAAACTCAAACAAACCTTCTTTCAAATGATTCAGAACTGTAGGAATTATAAACATAATGTAAAATAAATAATAAAGCGTGAAGCATAGAGTTAGGCTGGATAGATCTGCCCTTATGGACGGGGAACATTGTCATTGATACCTGATCTAGAATTGTTTTCCATACTGGGATGAATTCAAATTTCTCATTTTTGTACTTTGCATGTATGTTTTTAATTTAGATTCTAATGAAACACATTGACAAGGGAAAAGTAAAAGGGGTGAAAAAACTTTTGGAAGGCACTGAAATTCTGACAATTTAATTTATTAAAGCTACAACTTGTGATATTTATCTTAATAAAGCGTTTGAATGCAGAATATTTTTATTTTGTGTTAGTATGGCTGCCCTCTCTTCAGTGCTGAAAGTCTGCAGAGACAAATAACTTTCCCCAAACTCGGGTCTGGCAGAGCGTTTCAGCTGGTTTTTAAGCTGCAGGCCGTTTCTGAAACCGCTCACCTTCTCGTCTGTTGACTTTGGCGAAGCCCGGTCCGTGACTGGTCGACAGCTGGGAGGAGCTCCTGAAGGACGACGGCGGCAGGTTGGACACCAGAGGGTTGTCACACACCTCTGCTGACCAATCACACGCCAGAAAAGACACACGAGACACAAATCAGTATTTAGCATTAAAAACATCATTTCACGAAACTTATATGGTTACAGGAGATGATTAGGGCCATAGGAATAAGAAAATCTGACTTTAATCTCAGAATTTTTTACTTTAATCTCAGAATTTCTTTTTCAGAATTCTGACATAAAACTCTGAATTGCGACTTTTTCGTAAGAATTCTGATTTTAATCTCACAGTTTTGAATTCAAATATTCAGACTTTTTCCCCAGAATTCCGATATTTTTTCCACAGAATTTAGAATTTTCTTCTCAGATTTCCAACTTTTTCTCTCAGAATTCTGACTGTCGATCTCAGAAAGTCAAAATTTGGAGGAGAAGAATTTCAAGGTTATAATGCGAAATGCTTTTTTTAAATTATTTTTTTTGCCAATGATTTCTTGCTGCACAAAGTAAAACACATTTTCAGCAAAAAGCACAAAACGATCGTTGGTCAAAGTTTAGCAAATTACTGAGAAGAAAACAGACACAAGGGCAAAACGGAGGAATTCCCTTACAGTAGAAAGTCATTCTATCTTAGGTATTAAGGTTTACTTAGGTAAACCTACAGTAATTCCAATTAACTAAAAAAGGTTTCAACACTAATTACCAAGTTTTAAGAACCCAGTAACAGTTGGCTCTGGAGCTCTACTCAGTAATCGCTAATAGCTAATTGTTTATTTTGTTCAAAAACACGTTAAAGCGACGAAACGCAGTGAAAACAAAACTAGAGCCGAGGAACTGAACTGCACTGCTGAAACTCGCGTTGTTGTTCCTCATGGAGCCGCAGCCAAGGGAAGGTGAGACAAGTTTGGCAAATGAGTCACACACACACACACACACACACACACACACACACACACACACACACACACACGAAGAAACTCCAGTGATGGGTGAAATGAAGAAAGGAGTTGATGGTGTCACTGCATTACTTAAAGGCAGCAGCAGTAAATGCCCAGACGAGGCACTGAGCCAAACTCCTTCGCTTTTCTGCTCATATTTTATTCCTTCTTCAATTAACTCCAGGTGTCCTCTTCTGTTCCCCCCCAAAGATATACAGCGACCTCTGACCTTTCCGTCTGTTTTTTACAAGTTTTGGATCAATAACAGATTAAATATTGGTGATATGACAATCACATTCCTTTTACAATCAGAAACTATTGGCTGCAAAACGTGAAGTTGCTGCCAGTAGCCATATTTTAAACTAAATCAATAATAAGCTGAACTACAATAAAACATAATACATTTAATCAGACAGTTTTGATTTGGCCTTCATGTTGGCACCAGATATTACATAGAGAACTGAAGACCAACACATTTTGAATTCATCCATCCATCAGGTTTGATAGAAATCAATGAACAGTTTCTGTTTAACCCTTTAAGACCCAAACATAGAAAAACATTTTTTTTAAAAACCAAAACAGAAAGTTCAACCTGGTAGACGGTTTTTACAGGAGTAATTTGGAGATTAAACCATGTTTCCATATGTTTTTGTTTGTTCTTGTACAGTTTAACTAAATATATTACTTTACATAAAAAAAATTGCACAATAAATTAAAACAAGCTCAATGGTTCAAGCATCATTTATCGTTTTTATCTTTGTTTCTCCCAAAACCAGATATAAAAGTCTAAACTCTGGTTCTTTGGTCTCAACCAGCCAGGTTTTGTTTACAGAGACTTTATGATTCATTTTATTTGCTGTTCCTGAGGTTTGGTTTATTTATAGGATATAAAAAATGTCTTCCAGCTTCAGTGTTAAATGTTTTTTGATCCTTGAGAAAGTGTTCTTGCATCATTATGTTATTATATTACTTGAAAAACAACATTATTGCAATAACCAATGATATTATTGATTTTTTAATTCTTCATACTGAAAAAATTAATAACTTTTTTTTCTAACGAAACGGCAGCACCTCTGCTGGCTGCAGGAACCAGTCTACATCTGTTATGTTGTTTGTTTGTATTTTTATTCCCATTCCTGTTGTGTTTTATTTTGGATATGTAAAATATTTTCCAGTTGCAGTGTGACATATTCTGTTCAAAATTAAACTTTCCAGGACTTTGCCTTATTGTGGCTGGCCGGGATGCCATGCAGCAGCAGCAGGCTGAGGGTTTGATCAAAACTTCGCCTCCTCTCAGGCGCCTGTGTGGATCCTCTGCAGGTTTCCTCCCAGTCCGACACATGCGGGTCGGGCTAATTGGTCTCGCTGAGCTGCCTTTAGGGAGTGAAGGTGTGTGTGCATAGGTTGTTTATCCTGTGTGTCACCTGTGATAAAATGGCAGCCTGCTGTTGACCATTCTTTTTGCAGAAGCTGCTAATTTACGGCTGTAGACACTAATGAGTCTTTCAGCTCCAGAGTTTGCCTTTACCAAGATTTGGAAAATCTTTTTAGGAACTTTGGATGAACTTTTCATCTCTGTGGGTAAAAACAGTTATTGATTTAGAAACAAAAACAGAACCAAACATGGAGAAGCAGAATTCAGCTTCTATGGAGCACAAACCTGGAACAAACTTCTAGAAAACGGCAAAACTGCTGAAACACTGAGTTCCTTAAGAGTTCCTTTTGATTCCTGTAACTGGAACATTGATCAATATATTTGATGATTCACAAAATGTAATGTTTAATGCTTGTTTGTTTTTGAAATGTACTATAAAAATTAAACTTGTCTTGATCTATTCAGACTTTTTTTTACAGTAAAAAACACTGTAAACTGTTACTTTGTATTTAATTGAAAAAGGTGAGTGATTATAATATGAATTTGGTCGATGCTCAGTTTAATTAAACTAAGTCCAGTGAATCTCTGGGTGCATAGTGAATTACAAATTTGACTATAATCAAATAAATTAAGTGGATTTAACTTTCATTGCGTAGTTATACTTAACATTTACTTCATATATTCAATAAATACAAGGTTGCATATTTTTTTAAGTAAGGACGACTAATTAGGCTTTACAGTGTGCATTTAAGACAAAGTACATTTAGAATAAAAACATTTTAGTAAAAGTATTAAACATCAAAATGAAAAAGCCTTGGGAAGGAGAAAAGCACCTTATAATCAGACGTTTTTAGCAAAGCCACTGAAGGACAACATGCTGATAAATTTAGCTGAAATTCACTAAAAGCATTCAGCTATATTTCCTAATAATTGTTTCTCATGTAACTTCTTATAATAAACAAATATATGTTTTACATTTCAGAAATGATTTTTCTGATGTTTCTACGTAACGATGACACAATCACAGATTTAACTGGATGATAAATTGTCCCAAAAAATATTGTGATAAATGATATTGTTGTTTTGAGGCCATTTCCCACTAATAACGATAATGGTGTAATAATGCCTGGTAAATTTACTGGATGATAAATTGCAGCAGAAATTATTGCAATAAACAATAATATTGTCATTTTGAGACGATTTTCTATAAAATATAACAATAATAGCAATAATAATAATGCAAGTATACTGAGGACTATCACGATAAATTTTACTATACAAATTGTCCCAAAAATTACTACAATAAACAATACAATTATTATTGTTTTGAGACAATTTTCACCTAACACAATGACATTGCTATTATAATGCAAACATCTAGGCCTGTCGCAATAAGTTGCCCCAGTAGTTTTTGCGATTAACGATAATATTATTGCTTTAAGAGCATTTTCAGGTAATGTACTGATAATGACGACAAAGTTCTCCCTCTCAAACACTAATAAACTTTAATTTTGCACAGAACTGTTCACACTGGAAGTGGAAGAAATTTTAAATATCCAAAACAATAAAATAAATGGAAACCACACACAATCAATAAAATAGATTATGAAGTTTCTGCAAACAAAATTGGCATTAAAAATGTGAATAATCAGAATGGAGATGTGCTTTTTTTAATGCATCATGCGTTAAATTGATAACTTGCGACATATTTCTACTATGTTGCAGTTTCAGAAACTGTTGTGACTTTAGCAGATTCTGGGGCTCACAGCTACTTATCTGATCTAAAGACAGAACCATTTGATAAACGGGTCGGTTTTTAAAGAGGCGAACTTCCACACCGGAGCCGGCCTTGGGCAAATACAAAATACCCTCGGGTCACAGAGGCAGATGGATGGCAGGCGGCTCTCTGTCACTTTTATCGCTAAATTATTTGTCCCTGAATTAATAAATTCAGACTCATGAATGGCACCACAAGCCGCTGCCACCTTTATGTAACCTTGATTTAATTGGAACCTTTTATGACTCAACTTCCACTGAACACATGACATTAAGTGAACTTGATTTATACCACACAAGTATGCATTGACCTCTGATTTGCTCTCCAAAAGTCGTTCATCCTATGATGGAGCATGAGGGACAGAAAAGGTTCAGGCAAAATGTCTCTCCCATTCAAATTAAATAGAATTTATTCACAGGTTTATGGTCTCTCTATGCAAACCAGCAGTCTATTATAAGTCCTACAGAGACAGAGTCGTTATGAAGCGGGGCGATAGCTCCAAATTGAAATCAACTTCTCTCCCAGCATGTTTTTTATCCACCTATTTTCTGTCAGGCTGGGTGCAAGAGGAAAAAAAACAACTGCTTAAAGTTATCCATGCAGTCGCAAATTCTTAAATAATCAAAAAGCCAGCCCACATTGTTATCCACATGAGCATTACCCAGGTAACCCTGCTGCATCTGCAGAGCAATAATCAACCTGGAGGCGGAATAATATATTCTTTTAGAGTAAGCAAAATGTACGTCTAGCTGCGCCATGAAAGCAGGTTGGGATGGTAGCAGAAAAACAAAACCAAACAACAGAATAGGGAAGTGTGAGGTGTAAGAATGACGAAAATCATGATCACCTCGTTGCATTTCACGGTGGCAATGATACAAGTCAGTAAGAAAAAATACAAAGGTCTGTTAGTTAACAAAACTTTTCTTATCAAGTCGGTCCAAACAGCTGGTGGGAACTGACTCTGGGAAAAGTTTGTAACTAAAATTAAAAAAAGCATTTTTATGTTTTAAAGACATTAAACAGTAAATAAGTGGATTTAAAATACTCTAACAAGATAACATTGAATAGATGTGTGACTAGGGATGCACCAATAGTTTGGTCAACATGTAAAAACACCACAACTTTCATTTGTTTTTAGGGGATTTAATTAGGAGAAAATGATTTAATTAATTGGTTTGATCATTTGAGCCATAAACACCTTTATGGTTAAGGGTAAATGATTGGTCAATTTGAGAGAGTAGATCTGGACTAGAGTGGCCAATTAAACTTGTTGGATGGTCGTTTTTGAGTCTCTGTCCTCCATTTAATGATTAATTGATTACTAACTTAGTCGGTGATTACTTCAATAATCAATTAATCACGACTAATGCAATAAATCATTTCAGATCCTAAACACTTCTGTGGAAAAGGGAAAATATTTCTCAATTTGAGAGAGTAGACCTGGACTAGAGAAGCTTGCTGGTGTAAACAGGAAGGAGGAGATGATGTCAGGTGTTTTATAGAGGAAATAATTGCCATCTGTTGCAGTTATGTCTGATGGGAGAGCAGCATGAAAAAAAGATTTACTTCACAAGCCTGTAAATGTCAGTGATGCACTTGAGTCTGAAGAAGAGAAGGTCTGGCAGTGAAACGTCTCTACCGACGCAGCGCCGGCTCCTCCATGACCCACGACAGACGCAGTCTGGATTATTTACCTAACAGGCTTGTTCAGGTTCAGATTTACAAATCCACATGATCGAGCATGGAAGAAAAGCGTCGGTGTGGATGTGACTGAAGGGAATTACACAGATGGAGAGAAACTACACTGAAAAAAATCTGGAGTGACATTTACTCAGGAAAACCTAGGCAAGTTTTTACACTTTTTGAAGTGTACATCGCAAAGATTTTAATTTTGCTTAGTAATAAGACGTGTTATAACAAACACTCTTAGGTGAATTTTAGAGGAGTAAATTTCTGCCAAAAATCTCAAATTTTTTGATTAATCTCAGACGTCCAGAAAAACCCCCCTCACATTTCTGACATCAAAAAGTTGAAATTTTTCTAGAAAAAAACCCTCAAACTTTGAGATTAATCTCAGAAATTTTCTAGAAAACTTGGACATTTTTGAGTTTCAAAAGTTAGATTTTCAACTTCTGAAACTCAGACATTTTCAAGTTTTTTTGAGAATTTTCTGAGATTAATCTCAAACTTCCTGATTTTTTTTCTCGCAATTTTTTTGACTGAGAAAGTAGATGAAGCTTTGACCCGTAGATGGCTTAAAACTGTTTTGTGTGACAAATTAAGACGAGGTTTAATTAGTTGCTGCGGCTGGTGGCACAATGCATTGTGGGATACCTAGCCAGCCAATCCCTACTGACACATACTTCAAAACAACTAAGTTAATTATTAAAATGTTTTTTAAAAGCTCTTAATATAACTACGTTATAATTTATTTGATTAAAGTCAACATTGCAACACATCTTGACCAAAATCAAGTTATCAAGTATTTATCTTTTTCAATTAAACACAGTCTTAAAATTTACAGTGTTTTGGAAATGTAAATTAATGTCTGGTTCACTTGTACTGCACAATTAAATTTTACATGCATTTGTTAAGTTGATAACTTACTGAAATAGTTTAGTTTCTTCTACTTTGAATGACATATTAAATTTACTTGCTCTACTTTTGTGTGATACAGATTTAGTAATTAATTCAAAGTAACACAACAATTACATTTTAAAGTGAAGGTGCTAACATTATAATTTGTAGTAAAATTTACATAATGGGACCAAAAAGTCATTTTTTTCAGTGTAGCACTGAAGAAAATTTCCACCATTTTTGTAGCTTTATCTATTATTTTATTTCCAAGCTCTTTTATTGCCTCTGAGGATTAATTTTACAAAAGACAGGTAAATAAAAGCTGTAACTGACTGCAAACGTAAATAAAGCCTATGAAAACTACCAGTTATTGCTTGTAATTGTTTGTTATGGTCTTCATGTTTGAGTTGCAGAGGGAATTATAACTTAGGGAACACAATTTACCCATTTGATAACACTGCGGATCAATTTCAGCCCATGATATCTCCCCGCTTTAAAAGCTGTTATCTCTCCCAAACAATCAATAAAGCTAAGAAATAACAGAGCCTATTGATGCTTCTCTTCTCCGTCCTCCTCCTGGATCCATCTATCGATTTCCACAATCGATTTCAGACCCATCTCCAGCTGATTGAACACTTCTGAAAGGATTTTGATACAGTAATCATTAGATTTCACTGAGCAATCCCAACTGTGCAAGTCTTGAAACTCTGAGTTCAAAACCTCCCATGTTAAAACAAAACAGAATGTAGAGACTTAACAGAGTTAAGATCCATGGAGAAAATAAAGTGGTTTCCTTAAAAATAATCCCTGTACTCAAAAATCAACTCACAAGGTATTTTCTGAAAGCTTATTTGAGTATAAAACTGGAGCAAAAGCAGCAGAAGAATCCCCCTGTTACATCTTTCCTCATCTCCTCTGACAGACGCTCTCTTTTCCTTTCTCTCTCTCTCGCTTGCTTTCGAAGAAAACATGAAATGTTTAAAAGGGAAATAAAAACAGCAACCAGTGGGATTTACTGACTCTTAAAAGTTGACATCCAGTCCAGAGACGATGAGTGTTTTCCTTCAAAACCGAACCTCTGCACTGGTCAGATCAGAGCTGAGTCAGGGAAGTCCCTACATGCAAAATGAAACTGCTTTTATTTTTGCTTTAAAACTTTCAGAATCAGGTCACTGACTGAAGAGAGTCTCTGAAGACTGCAGACTGAAGATATGTCTCTAATTTGAAGAATTACACAAAATTAGTCATTCTACAATTAAAATTCACGATACATCTGTTTCTGTTATACTGCCAAAATTTGCAAGAGGTGAAAGTTTTATAAAAAGAGGGACATCCAGAAAGTAAGGGAGAGGATTAGAGCCAATAAAAAAAATAAAGTAATTAATTCTGACTAAAAATATCACACACACACACACACACACACACACACACACACACACACTCACACACACACACACATATTGTTTTAAGCATCCTTAGTAATTGAATGTTCTCAATGCAAGTCATTTATATCGTCCAGTTGAACTTAAATCCTACTTTGGTAACACATAATTTACCTTCCAACTGCCTAAAATTGACCCAAAAAGTTGCGTGAACAACGAGCAGCACCAGAAGCGCACGAGCCGCTCACCTTCTCCATCCGTCCCGCGTGAGCCAAGCAGCGCTGAGGCGACAACCGCGATAATCCCAGCGAGTATTTGACTCCTAGGAGACATGCTGAAGCGCCAGGATGCTGAAGAGCCTAACTCCGCTTGTCAGAAGGCAGCCGATCCGTCCACCGCTGCTCCTCTCCGGCTCCGCTCCGGTGCGCCGCGCCGCGCTGCAGCAGAGCCTGCAGCAGGGTGTAGAGGCTGGCCAGCAGCCGGGGAGAGGGACGGATGCTCTTGCACCGACTACCTTTTGTCAGTTAGAGCATGCAGGGAGAGGAAGGGGGGTTTATGAGGCTTTGGCAGGTCCGAGCCAAAAGCACAACCTCTGCTTCCGAGATGCTGGCGGATTTTAGACTTCCAGTCAGAGAAAGTCCTTAGTTCAGCACAGAGAGAGCAGGAGGCTGCGCTACCTTTAACTCTTGAGGTAGCTCCCAACTATGTGTGTGTGTGTGTGTGTGTGTGTGTGTGTGTGTGTGTGTTACAAAGGTGGGCAGAGTACCCAGAAATTGTACTCAAGTCAGAGTAGAACCACTTCAACATATTTTTATTCAGGGAAAAGTAAAAAGTAGCCATCCAAGAAATAACTCAAGTAAGAGTAAAACAGTGTTTGGTAAAATGGCAAGTAACTGATCAAATTATCAATCATATAGTTATAGTTACATTTACTCAATTACAATTACTTTAATAACGTTTTTGAAAAAATCTATTTTTTGTACTTTTTACTTTTACTTGAGTAATTTTATCACAAAGTATTGCTACTCCTGAGCAAAACTTCTGGATTTTCTACTCACTGAATGAAAAACAAACATGTTTTAACCAAAAATTCCCCAGACACAAGAAACGCTGCAGTTTTTGTTAATGTTTCCAAATCAATTTCCAAATCATTTTGAAACATTTTCTTTTGCTTGATTTTGTTAGTTTTTGTTATAAAAATTATTGTCATTCTGGTCCTGAAAATAGCAACATTTCAATTTAACTTTATATTTTGGTCCGTCTGATTAATCCCATGAAATAAGACAAAACTAATAGTGTGATCAGTTGCTCAGTACTTGAATAAACTTTTTACCAAATACTTTTTTACTTTTACTTGAGTAATTTCTTGGACAATTACTTTTTACTTTTACTTGTATAAAAATACGTTGAAGTAGTTCCACTCTTACGAAAAAGCACAAAAACTCACCTCCATATCATAGAGCCCACTTCCGTTCTCTGCACTCCTTTATCCAACGACTTTTCTCTTTGTAACGATTTCTCCTCTTAAGAAAACTCCACAAACTGTCGCCATTGCTTCCGAGTCGTCAGCCATGTTTGTTTACTCTAAATTCACGTATGGTATCGCGGGGTTTTACGGGATTTTCTGGCTGGAATCTAATACATCTTGGTGAGTGAAACTGTTGTAACTAAGATTTGTGGTTTTTTTAACGTTATATTTGTTTGATCGCTCAGGTTTCTAAAAATTGGCGGATAATTTTAAAATCCTAGTGTGTGAACCAGACACTAAACTGCTGCTGCGCAAGCAGGTTGTTGCTAGGTAACCAGAGCGCGAGTGAAAAAGCTTACAGTAACTCATAAATATTTATTTTTATTTTGTTATTTAATTTTTTGTCATATTTTATTTCAGGAGTTTAAGAATTTGTTTGAAGTTTTCATTCTTTTCTGTTCTCATTTTAAATTTGTGGTTGTTAACTGTAAAAATGCAAGAAACATGTTTATTTCTTATCAGAAAGACCATAAAACATTTGTTAAATATTTTTTGTGGTCCACAAAGGGGAAAAAAACTATCTGAAATACATTAATCTATATATATATATATATATATATATATATTTTTTTTTACATGTACATAACTTCTAAGGTCACAAAGAAAATTCAGTCAAACTTTGAAATGAAAATCCAAAAATTATTTAGTTTTGCCTTTTAGGGATTCTGTAAGATACAACTGTGGAAAAGTAATCAGCATGTTCAAAACTCAAGTTAATAAATTTACCATAAATGTGCCAGTGGGGTTTAAAAAATACAGCTTAAAATGCAGATTGCCAGCTATCCCCATGCTAAAATAAGATTATTTTTAGAGTATTTATTTTATGGGTTCTCAGTGGCTGTTATATTCAGGAAAATGAATGTTACAAAGAAAACAAAGTGTTGACATTATAAATGTTTAGTATCACTTTTGAACAGTTTTCCTTAAAATATTTATTCAGAGAAATAAAAGAAAGATCTTAATTTTAAGTAGAGAAGACTCTATTTAATCTACACAAACCAAAACAAACAGAAAAAAACCTTCTCTGGATCTGTCATCGCTCCACAGCTTTTAAACTCTGAATATTTATTCAAACCTTTGGTCAATTAATATTCAAGTGTGACTTACCTCATATTCCTTTTTGTTTTTTGTGCCAGCGGCATATAAAGTGCCACTTCGGATGTTTATCAGCATCTCTCTGTGTTTGCTTACTCTAAAAAGCAACTTTTTTAATGTTTTTGCTAACGCAGACCTGGATCAAGCCCTGGGTTGATTTAACACAAGGGGATTGAGTTTTAGGTATATGGTTTTTGGCCCAACATACTGGGTTAGGTTTTAAATTCAAAGCTTGTTTTGTGTCAATAAGTCAATAATTCCTTAATATTAGTGAAAAAGTTTTAGTTCCATATAGCGGATTATTTCACTTAGTATTTTTATACCAACATTAGGGAAATTTTTACGTAAAATAAATTCCCACATCTTACTGAAAAGTTACTTGTCAGTTAGTTTTGTCTTATTTCAAGTATAATAAAATATTTGCACTAAAAACTTGACTAAAGATTCTTGGTAAGACTTTGTGTTTTTGCAGTGTGTATGTGTGCACTGTTGATGTTTTAAGAAATGCAGAAGTCGCATGAAATCTCAAAAACCCATACCAGGTGAATGTCTGCACTGATGCATGGTTTACAAATGTAGATAAGTGAGAAATAGTTCTGAGAACAGAAAGTCAGACATCCTGCTGACCTTCAGGCTGAGTGGAAACAGTGAAGGTCATGAGCAGGCGTGTCAGTCCTTTAGCTCTGCTTGTCTTCACCTCCGCTGATCTTTGCCTCAGCAAGGTTAGGAATTGTTTATGTGATGTTTATGTGATTTTCAGAATAGAAATCACTAAAAATGAACAAAGTTTGTTCTTTAATAACAGATGAAACTAGCATAGATCTTTGGATGAAAGAAATCATCATTTCTTTCATCCAAAAAAAGAAATGACTGTTTTCTGCAGTTATTATGCAAATTTAAGGTATTGTAACACAAAAAGGCCCCAGATAAAGACTCACTTAATAGCTTCACTGCAGTGCAAAGATAAATCCTCAAAAGATGCACCTGAGTTCTTTTGGAAGAAATTTTATTTAATCTTACAAGGCTCAGTACTCAGCTGCAGAAGTAAATCTGCAGACTGGGATTTTGTTTCTCTCATCTGGTGTGCTTATCTGAAAAACCCCCACCCAGAAACTGCACTTTTAGCCTTGCAAAGAAAACATTTTGACTTTTGAAGTTCACTGTTCAAATCCTGTCAGGCTAACAATTTATAATCGACAAAAAAAATACACAATGCTCAGATGTACTTTCAGATATAGAGACAGGAAACGCTTACAGGGTTACCAAAAACTCACAAATCCAACCAAAACCAAAGCAAATCTTTCACACATTTCTTCAACAATCCATATTAACCACGTTTAAACTCCAGGAAATAAACTCAGGAGCAGGAAATCGTTAAAATGAGAAACTTCCCTGTTATAGTGAGACATAAAAATCCAAAGTTTTATATCTTTTACAATGACATATATATCTCATTAAAACCAAAATACGTTCTCATTTGAATGAGAAAAGCCGTCGCAGTAAAACAGCAACACCTCATGGGAAGATCGTCGTCTAGAAAAAGAAAAAAGATTTAGAGTCAGAGTTAAGTTATTTTAACAAGATACAAAACTCATTAAAACAAAAATGCTATAACAAGATGATAAAATTTCTTAAGACAAGAAATCTTTAAAAAAATTATCTTGTAATAAGGATGTTTTTTTGTAGTTGAAATTATTTCAGCTGCGTAATGCATCGACTGACACAACATTTCTGATTTTTGTCTTTTCTAAAATCTTTAGTTATAAAAGTCTACTGAGTTCTTATCAACATCGTTGGATTCTACAATTTTTCTTTCACCACACTTCTATGTTTGAAATCCTTAAAAATATGTTTAAATCAGAAATATAACCAAAATGCACAGTAAATCACAAACAAACTAAGTATCTATTTTATTTTTTATTTTTGGGGGGAGGGGGGCTAAATTGAATTTAATTACTTTGGCTCACACATAAGGGAGGAAAAGAGGAGCAAAAATTTCAGACATTTTTAGATTGATATCAGAAGCTTTCTAGAAAAAAGCCTGAAAAGGCAAAAATTGGCTACTAAACTCAAAAATGTTGAGATTAATCTAAAAATCTCAATTTGGAGAAAAAAAGAGAAAATTTCTGAGCTTCAAAAGTAAAAAAATGCAACTCTTGAAACTCAGAAATTTCTAAATGGAATATTTCTGAGCTCAGTCCCAACATTTCAGTTTTTCGCCAAATTTTTGACTTTTAAAACTCAAAAACGTTGTAGCCTTTCTCTAGAACATTTTTGAGATCAATTAAAAATGTCTGAGTTTTCTAGTGGAAATGTAGTCCTTCGTTCCCAGACTAAAGTGGCCTTAATAAAGAGAATCTAGAGAGAATTTATCTAATGTCAAAAAGCAACACCTCAAATCCCGATAAATCTATTAACAGATGAGAAACAAAAACAATAAAATCTATCAGTCTGGAAAACTGTTTTGAAAAGTTTTTGATTCCAGATTTAAAAACCGCAAGTAGAGAAAATATGGACCTTCGCTGAACTTATCTCACTTCTATTAATTAAGCTGAACGTTTGTGACAAAATGGGAACAAAGAAACTGGGATAAAATAAATATGCATGAGAAAATGTTGAGCAAAAACAACATTGCTCCAACAATGTTCTTTTGTTTGTTTGTTTCAAACAAACAAAAGAACATTTTATGACTTTTGGGAAAATATTCCTTGACCTAACGAGACAAAAGTGGAACCGCTGCAAGATGCGTCTTCCATCAAATTTGACATAAAACTGATACAGCGTTTCAGGAAACAGATATATTAAATATTGTGATTACAATGTGACTGTTTGGTGGTTGCTTTAGGATTTCATTTGTAAAGCATAATTTAAATCCATGCACCATTTTTTTTTACATTCTGCTGTTCTGTCACATATAATCTCAAATGAAGGACATTGAAATTTGAAGGCGGAACCTGACGAATGGAGAAAAAAAATCACTGAATATGTATGAGTCCTACTTTTTTGCGCAGCATTTTGGATCTTTAGCATATGAACAGCTTATTTCTATTTTTCCTCATGCTGAAGATGGATGCTCTAATAAAAACCAACTAATCTCTTTAAAGTAGTCAGTTTTTGGTGTGATGTGGAGGAGTTTAAATTAAATGCACTGGGGACGCGGTCAGTCTCATTCCATCTATGAAATAAGCATAATGTGAGCAAACTACAATGATTTACATGTCATTTGCATATGCACGGCTATACAGGTGCAGAGCGGCTTATTTTGGCATGAATCTACTCCACATGGCTCTATTTCCCTGCAGTATGTAGCCCTCAAATGAACACTAACAAGACCTGGGTGCGAAGCCAGAATGAGCTGTGTGCCGGCTGGTTGCTTCCCCGCTGATACAGTGGACTGCCAGCAACGATGAAGCCGCTGTGTGATCATATTTAACAAAGCATGTAGGGTAAAGGATGATGGCTGGCAGCAAAAAATGAGAGGAGGCACCTGTTCATTTGTGATACGATGACAGAAAAATGACTCTGAAGTGCTACGTAAGAAAATTACCTGCAATACCCCAGGAAGAACGAAGCCTGTGGACAGCAGCGTGTCGGAGTTATAGTGGCAAACACACTTTATAGGTGACCTATTATGCTTCCTTGAACAGTGATTTCAACAGTTAGGGTACTGTTGAAATCACTGTTCATTTTTTCACAAAATCACTCTTAGATAATGAGATTTAGTTTGGTGAGCTCCATTCAGAATGAACCGTTTTAAGGCGTCTTGTCACTTTAAATGCCAATAAGCCGCTTCTAGCCACGCCGCCCCCAACTCAACATTTACACCCACACCTGAAAATGGCTACAAACAGCCTCGCAATTATACAACCGTACATCTTTGACAAGCAGAAGTGGAGCTTCCTGCGCAACCAACAAAAATGCAGCAGGTGGTTTCTGGATGGAAAGTCAACAATAAAACTGCTGCGTTTTCCAGCAGCCATTGTACAGTGCCTACAGCAATAAAAACTGGCTGGGTTGCTAGGTGACGTGCGGAACTCCACTGAGGTTGCTAGGTAACAGGCTGATTTGTGGCATTACATTCCAGAGGTTTTTGAAATTTATCCTTTCCCAGACACTAAAAACCACTAATTTATTTAAAAAAAAACTGTCTGGTTTTATTTTCAGCACTTGGTCTGTCTTTAGAAGCAATAAACACTCAAATGGAAGTACAAAAATGTGTGAAATGTGAATTTTGCATAATAGGTCCCCTATAACTAAAACTCAGTATCAGTGTACTAACAACTGGGAACATGAAGAAGAATCAGACTTTGTAAGGTGCAAAACCAGAACCGGTCACAAGTGGCAAACCAGTTCAAAAGAAAGCCAAACAAGTGTACTTTTAAATTCCTTTAAATTTATCAAAGGGCTGAACATTAATGAGAATAATGGTTAAGAAATGAAGACAAACAGTCAAACAACATGTGGGTTCCAACACGTTGCTTCCTCAAGCTAAGTTCGTTTTTCCCTTGGTAAATTTCACAATTCTCCCTAAGCTTAAATTGTACATATTTGTGACTACTTGATGCTCTCTCTCTTTTAAATATGTCAGTAAGAACAGATGTTTAAATTCCACTTTGTTAAGTGAAGAAAATAGTATTTACCAACCAAAGTAGACTAAAACATTATTAGGTTGAGTTCAGCCTGTTTTACATTGGCTTAAAGGACAATTTTCTGAAACTATGTGGTTTCCTCTCTCAAATTATATTTCATCTGTCATTTTCCCAAAGTTCACTCAACTCCAGCTGGAAGACTGCATCATCTGTCACCAAAAGGACCTTTTCGCAGTCTGATTCTGCAGTAAATGGGTTGATGAGGAATGTGATCTGAGATCGTTTCTCTTTCAGGTCACACACCTCAAAAGATTTGCAAAGCATGGCGTTCTCACTTCTGATGATCCAGCAGCTTCTAACAGGTATGGAGATGTGTCAGGTCTTCCCTTTTAAGATGGGTGGAGAAGAGCTGGAAGTTGTTAAGTGTGAAAAGCAAACTTTGCACCAGATCAGGAAGCATTTTTAAACTTTCCTCGCAGATCTAAATGAAGTTTGTTCAGACGATTCAATGTGTTGACCAGAAACTTCACATCTGAATATCACTGGGAGTCATGATGGCTTGGATTTTGCTCTTATCAATCACCTGACCTTAAGAGTGGTTTCACACCATCCCTGTTTAGTCTGCTTCAATCAAACTCCAACTTGGTGGTCTAGGAAGTCCAGTTTATCTGGGGATGTCTGAATGCACAACTGAACTCTGATGCAAACCAAAAAACAAACTCTGGTCCACCTTCCAACTGAGGTCTTGGTTCGGTTGAAGTGAACTCTGGTGCGGTTCGGATGCATACGCGAATGCCAAACCGCTCCAAAAACAGGAAGTGGACTACAAAGTAGGGCATTCTGGGTAAATACAACCAAAACAAATGTGAGATTTTAATGCTAGTGGGAGAAATAACTTGTGTTTTTTTTTTTTTTACCAAAGGCAAAAGAGAAATACTATAACCGCTAAAATCTGACGCCACTCCATTTTTGTTTACATTTGGTGAAGAAGGAAGTTGTATTCAGTGTCTTCTTCAGATGTTTTCATGTCATTTCCTTTAGTGGTTCTTGGTGAAGCGCCACCACAAGTGAGGAAGGGAACATGTTTCTAAATTAGTTTGGAGTGTTTGACACGACGCAGTGTTAAAGCAAACCGCAGCAGCTGAAAATATAATAAATGTTACAATATTGGTCCACAATCGCACTGAATCTACCGGACAATCAGGTGTGAAAACACCCAAAGAGAAACGTTACTCTTTACAATGGCTGACGTCTTTACAGTTTCGTCAAAGTTTCTGTTTGCTTGTGGGATCCCACGGTAGTATCCATTTTCTAAAATGTTCTGGTGTAGTGTGTGTCCCAATTTCCCCCTTTTGATAATCTTAGATTATTGTGACATCAGAACCGTTCTGGTTTAAGATTGTGGAGATTCAACATGATGGATTGTCTTGGCCGATATTGCAACATGTGCAGAGTTCTAACTCACTCACTTACTGGTTGCCTGGCAACTCACTCACTCTTTGGTTACCTAGCAACAACCTTTTTTTAGTGGCATGCACAGTAGCTGTTTAAGTTTCTGGCCTCATAACTGCTTAAAAATAAAAAGAATGCTGTGGGGTGAAAACTGTGGATAAAAGAGGAAAGTTCTTGTCACAGTTTGGCAGTATTTCACATATTTAAAATAAAAAATAATCAATAATTATCAATATCGACTGATATTAAATGATTATATTGTGATATTTTTTTAGCCAGACCTACTTGAGCTTGACTCAAAAGTAGACACTATCTTGTGTTGTGCTGTGATTTAAGCCATTTCTATAAGAAACTAATGGATCAAAATAGAGTCAAAAAGAGAGAATGAGAGACTTATCAACTCATATTTCAAACATTCAATTCCAACTGAAATTTATACTACTACAGTTTGTTCATGGGTTTTTTTGTGCTTTTTTGTAAACTTTATTAGTAATATCACTGAGACATATCAGTGTCTCATTTCAGACACTAATTAAGGAAGTGGGTAGCATCTTTAATCTATAAAAGCTAATAGACATTATTACCTGGAATAGATTATTATTCTCTGAAGCAATGTTGCATGACAATTAATCTGAATCTGAAAAGTTGTTGGCAGCATTATATCAGCTGATGTATCCCTGTAAGCCACAACAGCCAAACAAAAAGGCAGGAGCTCTAGGACAAAAAATAAAAGAAAACAGAAGGTTAAAATAATAGCAAATATTGCAAATGTGATAGGAGTTAATTTCTAATGCATTCCAGATGCAAAAAGGTTTTTAAATCTCTTATTACTGAAGTTTCACAATTGAAATAAAGGTTTCACAAAACACAAACTAGGTTTAAAATATTTTGTTATTGGCGTAGAATAATCTAGTCCAGATTTGAAGTGTATGCATATTCGTTTTTAAGCAGAACAAATGATTTCTTAACACTTATATGTCAAGCATAATTTGCACGATTATTTATTTACAGTCATATGCTAAGCATAATTTACATGGTTATTATTCATCGAATTTAACTGTACATAATTACAAAAAGGTGACGTGAAACATAATTAAGTGCAAAAAATTATTTATTTTGGAGAGAGGAAGTCTTTTATTTTGAAGAATACTTAACAGGATCTAGTTTTGTCTTTTGCCACTATCTTGCCTTCTGTTGATTTCGGTTGCTTGAACGGGTGTTGGTTATGAACAGCCGTTGCCGTTATTCAGCTATTGTTCAATAAAAATCTGAACAGAAAATGTTCAGCAAATACATCGGAGCCTCCGTTATAATCGCTCTTTAGCCATTTCCTGGATCAGAAGCTACAGTAGGAAGCCAACTTCAGCTTCGATCCAGACGGTCAGTTAGGAGCCGCCACAACTAGAGGACCGGACTCACCTTTCCTTCTGTGCAGTCCTGTTCTGTTTAGGATCCTGCTCAGAGTGCGCATGCTATAAAATTATGTTTCTAAAAGTATCACGTTTTAACAAGATAACAATCACGTTTATACAAGATACTATTACGTTTATATAAAATACGCATCACGTTTATACAAGATACATATCACGTCTTAACAAGATACTATTACGTTTATATAAGATACGCATCACGTTTATACAAGATACGCATCATGTTTTAACAAGATAACTATCACGTTTTAACAAGATAGTATCTTGTGATACTATCACGTTTATACAAGATACATATCACGTCTTAACAAGATACTATTACGTTTATACAAGATACTATCACGTTTATACAAGATACGCATCACGTTTTAACAAGATAGTATCACGTTTATACAAGATACTATTACGTTTATACAAGATAACTATCACGTTTATACAAGATACATATCACGTCTTAACAAGATACTATTACGTTTATACAAGATACTGTTAAGAGAGGAAAAATTCTTGAACTTTAAAAACCTTTTGACTCGTTAAATCCTCTCTATGCCCGGGTTCAGAAAAATGCTGTGCGCAAAGACTGAGATCACGCAGAGATAACAGCATCACAATAATCAGCATTTATTCAAGACAGATGCATACTATCACCAGACGTCACATAACATCAGAAACCTCAGAGCACAAACAACACATGAATTTACCTGAGAGAGAAAAAGACAAAAGATGGAAATCACAAACAAAAAGCAAAGACGTCTTTGGAGAAGTTGCAAGAGCAAAATCTAATGTGTTACTTCTGTGTAGAAAGTTTTATAGTAAAAGGCGTATTCTTATCTTTAATTATTCAAATCAGGCGTATCTTTGCTCATCCAACCAGGAGCTATCTCTGACCCTCTATCTGAATCCAGAAACCCCGCAGTGTTTACGGCCTTTCACAGATGAGTGTGAAAAGCTACAACTTCTACTGTATTGTTTTCCCACACAGACAAAAGGCAGTTCAAACGATCCTAGCAAACCATCTGCTGTAACTACAGGTAACATGAAGGTCAATAGGCCAGAATAAGTTACTGATTTAAAACCACAATTAGGCCATTTAAATCAAGACATGTTAAGTTTTAAAACTAGCTTATTTTAAATTTATTTTCTCAACAATACGCATCACGTTTATACAAGATATGCATCATGTTTTAACAAGATAACTATCGCGTTTATACGAGATACTATCACGTTTATACGAGATACTTTCACGTTTATACAAGACACTCACGTTTATACAAGATAACTATCACGTTTTAACAAGATAGTATCACGTTTATACAAGATACATATCACGTCTTAACAAGATACTATTACGTTTATACAAGATACGCATCACATTTATACAAGATACGCATCATGTTTTAACAAGATAACTATCACGTTTATACAAGATACATATCACGTCTTACTATCACGTTTATACAAGATACGCATCATGTTTTAACAAGATAACTATCACGTTTATACGAGATACTTTCACGTTTATACGACACTCACGTTTATACGAGATACTATCACGTTTATACAAGATAACTATCACGTTTTAACAAGATAGTATCACGTTTATACAAGATATATATCACGTTTATACCAGACATGTATGACACACAGCAAATTTGGAAGTGTTCCATCAACTCCTACAGAGTTAAATTCAACACTTTGAAAGTGTCTATATTGGTCCACTCTGGATGGTGTAGAAGTTGCACTTTTTAAAGTGTTATTTGTGATAGCCACCTGAGCAATTAAAACCTTTTTTTCCCCAGAAACTATTGGCCATCAATAATCCCCAAATTCATTTTAAAAGACATTAGATGCTGCTTGAATCTACCAAAACACAGCACCAGTTGCAGTATGTAATCTACTTTTATTGCAAAACATCAAATAGAACTGACACCAATATACAACAAAGACATTCACTGAAGGTGAAGTGTGCTTTGAAAGTTCATTGGAAGCGGCCATGGATGGTCTTGTGATCACTGATGGTGAAGTGTCTTTGGTGCTGCTCTTGTTTTCGTCAACATGAAGGAGGAAGACTTCCAGCCTGGAAGGAAAAACAAGAAATATAGCAGGAACATTAGGATAATAAATAAATATTTTAAAAAGAAGTGTGAGCAAAACTAATCAGACTCACCTGTGCGTGTCACCATCATATTAATTCAAATTACTCTGCCCACCCGGTTTACAAGACAAAGCATTAAAAAGTAAGAAATTACTAAAGAAATTAGTCAGCTTATAGAAAATTTTTTGGACAGCATTAAAAGTCGTGCCAACCTGTCTGAAGAAATGTGTTGAAGTTATCATAACACGCTTCAGTCACCAACATGACACACTAACAAAGAAAAACAATTTTGGCAGTTTTTAGATGTGCCACAGGTACAATACACCAAAGTCAAATGGCTCAATTGCCTCCTCACTGTGTAGATATGTTCTCCAGAGTCCTGCTAATCACCTAATTATTGTATTCAGGTGTGGTGCAGCAGCGGCACATCTAAATGTTGCAGGACAATGGTCCTCCAGGACTGGAGTTTAACACCTGTGGCTTAGATCAAGCCAACAGTCCAGCACAGCCACTCCCCCATTTTGCAGTCTACAGCCAAAAACTTAAAGAAAACAACCTCCGCAGCTAAATAATGTTAACTCAAATGGCCCCCAGATTTTCCTGACAGTTTTGATGTTCGGTTAAGACAATAAACAGTCGTAAATACCGTGATATCCAACCAAATTAAACATACGTTAAGCAAACTATGTATATGAATCGATACTCTTGTGTAAACGGAAAAATAATGCCTCCACAAAAAAATTGTCAAAAACATGATCATTTTAGCATGGAACTTAACTTGTTATAAGCTCCAGACAAGACGCCATACTGCTGCCTCAGCTCCTCAGGCTACAGTAGCGGAACAAGATGGCGTTGGCCGGGGGGCGGGGCTAATGACCGGGCCCAAATAATAAA